CTGCTGCTGCTGCTGCTGTTGCTGCTGCTGTTGCTGCTGCTGTTGCTGCTGTTGCTGCTGTTGCTGCTGCTGTTGTTGTAGCTGTTGCAGTTGCTGCTGCTACTGCTGCTGCGGTGTCTGCTGCTGCCTGAGCAGGCAGCAGTGAGGTGTCTTGCCCGGCCTAGCCCTGAGGTGCAGCAACAGCAGCAGCAGCTGCTGCTGCAGCTGCTGCAGCCGCCGCAGCTGCTGCAGCTGCTGCAGCTGCTGCAGCTGCCGCAGCAGCAGCACCCCAACGGGGCCCGCAGGTGCTGAGGGTAGGGGCAAGAGATCCCCTTGAAGGTGGGGGGCCCCGGGGGCCCTGTATGAATATGCAGCAGAAAGGCCGCAGCAGCTGCTGCTGCTGCGGCAGCTGCTGCTGCTGCTGCTGCTGTTGCTGCTGCTTCTGCCGCGTCGTCTCTGCTGCTGCTGCTGCAGTTGAAGGCAGCGAACAGATTAGCAGCGCGTGTCTTTTGATGGAGTTTTAGGATAAGGGGTTCCGGAGGGGCGCACACAGCAGCTACTTGCTGCTGCTGCTGCTGCTGCTGCTACTGCTGCTGCAGCTGCTGCTGCTGCTGCTGCTCTCTCGTCCTTGCCTCCTCCACTGCAGCTACTTGCTGCTGCTGCTGCAACTTAATAGACAAAAAAAATTAAACCCTACCTGCTGCTTGGGGGGCCCCCAGGCAGTCGGCGGCCCCCACACAAGCAGCAGCAGCAGGGCTGCTGCTGCAGCAGCAGGTAGTGGCGGTGAGGCCCCCCCTGGTGCTGCTTTTTTTTGTTTTTTTTTGTTCTATCGAGGAGTTTTAATTAATTAATTAAGAGGTTTATAAAAGAAGAGAGAATTATAAAAAGAAACCTATTAAATACAACAAAACACACACCGACAGCAGCAGCACTGCTGCCTGCTGCTGCGGCTGTGGCCGCTGCTGCACTGCCTGCTGCTGTATTGCTTTTGTTGTTTTTTCTCTTCTGAGGCAAATTTATTTTATTTATTTAATTATTTATTCTATTTCACACCAATACATCGATACAAACAAACACCAGAGGCACTGCCGCACCCACACCCACCCAGAGCAGCAGCTACACAGCAGCAGCCGCAGCAGCAGAACTGCTGCTGCTGCTCCTGTGCTGCTGCTGCTGTCGATGCAGCAGCAACACCAGCTAGCTACCCTGTACTTGCTCACAAATAACGCCCACACAAACGCCCAAGGGCCTAGGACTCTGATGCTGCTGCTGCTGCT